GTTCTGCTCTCTCTGCTTTTTCTCATAGTAGCTTCATCTGTGTCAGGTTTCTGTTTCTGTTATGTTTTTCTTTTGAGTATCCAGTTTTGCTTTGCTCCTTGTTTTCTAGTTTTAGTGGGTTAATTCTTAGTTTATTTAGTTCTTTGATTCTTTTTTCAGTTACTGTCTTAGTCTTGGTTCTGTTATATTTTCTTTTTAGTGTTCAGTCTTGCTTTAGTCCTTGTTTTCTAGTGTTAGTGGTTTTATTTTTATTTTGCTGTGTTCTTTGTTTTTTCCAGTTACTGTCCAAGTCTGGGTTCTGTTATGTTTTCTTTTGAGTGTTTAGTTTTCTTTTCTCCATGTTTTATAGTCCTAGTAATTTAATTATCATTTTGTTATTATTTCCAGTCTTCCAGGTTTCTATTTGTTGCTCTCTGCTGCCCTCTTGTGTTCTCCTTCTTCCCTAGCTCTTTCCCTCTCTTGTTCTGTGCACACCTGCTCCCAGTTTCCCCATTAGCCCCCTCTTTGTCTCAGTCTCCTTTAAAAGCCCTCTCTCTACAGTTTCCCTTTGATGGGTCTTCGTCATAAACCGTCAAACTTCCTCCAACTCCATCTGCCTGAGTCTTCCTTGTTGTGATAGTGATTTCCCTGATGTCTCCATGGTTTCTGGTTCTTTTTGACTTGTTTTCTTTTTGGATTTTTGGACTCCTGGTTTCATGTTAGTCTGGACTTTGTTTTCATTATTGGATTTTTGGATAACCTGCCTCTGTTTTCAGTTTCCCTTTCATTAAATCTAAAGAAATTCACCTCTGCCTTCCTGCCTCTGTTTTTGGGTCAACAATCCATAATCAAATCCTGACAATCTGGTCTGTTCCTGTTTGGCTGTGACTCCATCCTGGAGAGAAATATCAGCTGTGCTGCTGCCATCAACACCTTTGTTTAAGCTGGGCATACACTTTGCGATATTTTCAAGCGTTGCACGCATCTACAGCTCACACTGTACGATGAATCTGCAGTGTTTAAAAGCTCACAGCTCACAATGCATGTTCTCACACTGCGCGGTTTGATGCTCTGATGCAACCCTACGATGGCAGAATGAATTTCATAAATGTTTGATTTTCTCCCGACCTTACGATTCCTGATCGGGAGTTGGTCGTGAGAGGCTGATCGACCCTAATATTATAAGCGTTCTGATGGTATTTTAGCGAATGAATTTTTGTTAAAAACATAATTAATGTGCACAAATAATGAATAGTTTTTTAACCATGCATGTAAACACAGTTTTATGGCAACTAGTTCTGCCTAATGGTGAATCCCCCCTGTGAGGGGTTAAGATACGTAGCAGGAGAGCGGCGGCCGCAGAGGCCTTTGGACGGACCTGTAGTTGTGGAACCAGTTGATGACTGTGTTGGTTTTCAGGTTGAGCTGTGACGCCAGCATCTCGATGGTGTTCTGGGAGGGGTAGGGCTCCTGCAGGTATGCCCTCCTCAGGGCCTCCTTCTCCTCAGCTCCCAGCACCACGCGGGGTTTCTTCACCTGGCTGAACGGACACAGGTCCAGCGAGGCCAGGGCAGGGCTCACACACTCGGAGCGAGTGCTGGGGGAGTCGCTGTCGGAGCCGGTGCTCAGCAGCCCGTAGCGCCTCTTCAGATAAGCTGGGGGAGCAAATGGAAACCAGGTCAGGGCCCCAGAAACAGCAGTTAAAGGTGGATCCGTGCGTAGATCTTCAGCCCCCACCTTTTTTCTCCATCTTCTTCATGATTCTCAACTTATCCACGTTGTGAGGATCATTGAGCCAGAGCTGCATGCGAACAAAAGGTTCCCGGCCTTTGAGGCTGAGTTTGTGCCAAGGCTTAGGCCTGGAGAGCAGGTCAGACACCGAACCTTGAGTTAGACCCAGGATGGTCTCCCCAAAGAGACGCTGGCCTGTCGAAAACAAGCAGTATTAGATATTCCTGGTTTGACCCACAGCATGATGCTGCCTCTGTCAACTCACACCCACCAAGGTTGTTGTCGGTTAGCACCTCCTTGACCTTCTTGGTGATGATGTACGTGTCCAGCTCTGGAGACATCGCCACAAGCTCCTGGATCCCTAACTGGGTTGTAGGCTGATGCAGCCCCATCAGACTGGGGGTAGACTTCCCGCCCTCTGGGTGGCTGGGCAGCCCCAAGGCCAGGCCGTCAGGCTGCTGGTTCTCTTTGCTGCTCTCTAGCGAGAGACTGACAGGCTCAGCTAGCGGACTCGGGTGGCTCTCGGCCGGACTGGGAGGCGGGGAGGGAGAGGACTGCGCTGTGGCTGGACTTTTACCTGGAATAAAGAACATTTCACATCATTTCATCGCTGTGTGGTTCTGCTGGTTCGGGATGGGGGTTAATAGAGGGGAAAACGAGGTGCATCCTCACCCTGAGCATGGCCCTGGTTCGGCGTCTGGCTGAGGCTTTGGCCGAGCTGATCCAGTAACCACAGCTGCATGCGGATGAAGGGCTCCCTGCCTTTCTGGGTCAGCTTGCTCCAGGGTTTGGGGCGTGAGAGCATGTCGCTGACGCTGCCTTGAGAAAGGCCCAGCACCTGGCCAGCATGAACAGAAGTCATGATTTAGTCCTATCCCAAAGGAAAACCGTTTCCGCTTTATCTTAACCTCAGGTTTTCTTTGTTGTTCGAGCTAAGGATTAAATCATTTATATTAATGCTGGTGAAGATTCTCAGTCATCCGGGTCATAGTCATTCCAACAAAGTTAAAAAAGATAAAAACCAATCTACTGGACTTTGTTTTCCAAGTTTAAAGACTTTTCGCTTCCCATCCAGGAAGATTCAAAATTTTGGGAAGTGAATCATCTTCAAACTTGGAAAAAAAAGTCCATTGGTTTTTTTTATTTATTTTTTTTAAACTTTTTTAAACTTTGTTTGGTATTTATATTAATGCATTAACGTTTTAACCTGGCGAGTGTTGTCTTGTGCGCTACCCCGATCAATCCCCCCAAGCCTCCACTCTGGGTTCCTGAGCAAGACCTTTAACCCCACATTCCTCCTTGGGCGCTACACAGTAGCAGCCCACTGCTCCCCAAGGTGGATGGTTTTTTTTACGTCCTGACATTCATCGCTTTCATGAAATCCCTTGAAGTGACGCAGTTTACCAACACCTGGGTATAGAGTGATGGAGAACACTCCTGATGCTGGAAGTTCTTAACTTTCATTGATTCAATTATAAGAAATAAAGTTAATTATAAAACATCTTATTCATCAGCTGGCCGACTGATTGCTAAAGCTGTTTTTTTAACTGCAGGATAAAATTGAGGCTCTTTCTGATGAAAATAGGCAACATTTAACAAGCTACCACTAGAGGGAGACATTACACCACAAATACTTGCTCCTTTTCAAACCATAAATTGTAAAGAATGGTTTGAATAACCCCAAAAAACTAACTACCAACATTATAACTACATTTTAATCATTGTATTGTTTAGAAGATTATTCTACAGAAAAACACATATTTTTACCCATTGATAAAGAACACCACTACACCCAAAATATTCACTCCTCCACCTAAATGACTGAACTCTGTCTCCAGGCACCTCCATGGCCCCGGGTTCAGGAGCTGGAGCCTCTTAGTACCGGCGTCAGGATATTTGAACGCTTCAGCAGACCAAGATATTCCGGATGATTCCATGATCCTAACTTTATGGGAACAGTTTGGAAGCTGACCCTTCGTCCACCTCCAACATGACTGAGCTGCAGAGCAGAGAGAAAGGTCCAGAAGGGCCTGGAGGAGACGGCTTGGTGTGGATGAGCTCCTGACTACAGCACGATTATTTTCTTAATCAATTTCACTCTCAATTATCCCCTCCTCCCCCAATTAATTTATTAATGATCAGACATCTTAAGATGTTATGCATAATTAAAGCAAAGTGATGCTAAAGTTACAGACAAAAGGTTTTTCAACTTATACATTTTTTTTTTACAATTTAGGTATAATAATTGCCCTGAGATGGTTGTTCTTACAGCCCATAGGATGTGATAAAGTATCTCCAGTTATTGATAAATCGATATATTAGACAACATTATTTTCAAGAATGATTAAACAGAATTAATATGATTAATTGTTCCGCTCTGGAAAAACGATCTAGAAATAAGTAAACATTTCCTAAATTAAGTCTATTTAGCCATAATTTGAGTAGGTAAATAAGGTAGTTTGCCAATGGAATGAGTAGTTTTACTCTAAAATAAGATCATTAGATAATATGCTCTTGAAATAAGACAATGTAATTGTGTTTTCTTATTTTAAGTGTAAATTGTCTTGTTCCATTGGCAAGTGTTTGTTTTACCTCCTCAATCCAAGAACAAATGCACTTATTTTAAGAAAAAATTACTTATGTAGATTTTGAGTTTTTCCAGTGATGCACTGTTGCCTTGCAAAAAGAAGGTTCGGGGTTTGATTCCCGGCCCAGGGTCTTTCTGCATGGAGTTTGCATGTTCTCCCTGAGCATGCGTGGGTTCTCTCCAGGTACTCCAGCTTCCTCCCACAGTCCAAAAACATGACTGTTAGGTTAATTGGCTTCTCTAAATTCTCTTTAGGTGTGAGTGTGTGTATAGTTGTTTGTCTCTGTGTTGCTCTGTGATGGACTGGAGACCTGTCCAGGGTGGACCCCGCCTCTGATCCGTAGACAGCTAAAGATAGGCTCCAGCACCCCTTGCGACCCCACTTGGGATAAGCATGACGGAAATTAATGGATGGATGTTTCAGCTGATATTCCGTAGCTCTAGATCAGATCTAGACCTCAGCAATCTGCTTCTAGAGGAATGATAGAAATTCCAATGAACAGACGCCTCAACTTGGTATTTTCGCTCCCAGAAAAGCTGCAGTAGTTTGAGCTGTAAAGCAAGGACCCACGTCATGTTGAACCCCATTAAATAATTATGGGATGTCAGTGAGGGCCAGAGGTGAGAGATGAAGTGAGGCCAGTACTTTTGGTAATGTAAGATTTTTTTATTCTTTTATTCCGATGATATTTATATATAGAGAGAAGCAAAAATCAGGCCATGAAAAATAAATATTAAAGGTACAGAGGGCGATCTTTTATTTCCGGATGGATCATCTCAATAATTGTCATTCTGGTGATGTGTTTACGTAAGGCCGTCCTACGTCCTCGTCCCGTTAGCGCGGTGGACCAACAGGGAAGTGATCATCTGTCCAAATGGTCAGTTAACTAAGTTCCCTATAAGGACCACTATATAGTCCCCGATCTATATAGTGATGGAGGGATTTAGGGGTTAGAGCGGACATTCGGACACAGTAAGCTTGTATGAGCTATGAGAACAGCAACTCGGTGCGGTATCGGCTGTTGATCAAGTCCCAGTGCTGTATCTGGTGTTTGTCACAACGCGCTAT